CGCTCAGATTTCTGTTCAACATGGTGAACGAAGATTGGTTGAAACTCGCTGCGACCTGGCCAGATGTTTGGGCTTAAGATGTTTGGTGAATTATTTCTCATTATGTGCTTATCAGTGACCTCAGCATGGAGGGTAGCAATGTTTGGTAACGGGCAGAAGGTCTCGGCATGCCACCTGTAGCTCTGTCTTTGAGAAATAAGCAGATCGTTATATACAGGTCGATATCATGCCACATTCAGGTAAATATAGCACAGCTGGCAGGGTACAGGTGTTTCAAATCGTTTCTCCAGGGTTAACATACACTACTGACTCCACTGCCAGCTTTAAAAATATACAGTATTCTGCTTTTGGAGGCACATCAGCATTTTAAAATAAAAAGAATGCATGCACAAAATATGTATAGGCCTTTTTACTGCACTCTACCAGTGTCGTTTTTGGCCCTGATGGTAATGCAGCTCAGTACTAGGAGATGGCTATGTCTCTTTCTGATTTTCCCATGCGTTCCTCATGCTGGCCATTAAGCAGTGCCTCAGAGCCATGCATGCCTGCCCAGGCCCTGATCTTACAGCACTGAGCGGTACAGCAGTCAGTGTCTCTCCCTAATGGCCAAGCCACTAATCCCTGAGCTGTCAGAGGATCCTGTACTGAACTCATCCCAGCCCTCAGGAAAAGGCTCTAATTGGGGGATTTTCCACATCATTAACCTCGACGAGCAGCAAAATTCCCTCCACGCCACCATTGTTACTTGCTTCCTCCTGAACCGGCGGACATTGTGAAACCACGTCTGTAAGACACAGAGGAGAGGCAGTAATTTGGCCCTCTTGGTCTGGGTGTTGTTTGGTAGTGTCTACCCGTTGGGTGGGGTGGTCACAAAATACTGACTGAGCTCAGCGTACAAAAGAGAGCCGACAGATTCTTGTCCCTTTTTAAGTGTTCGAAAGCTTCCCGAGCATCGGATCTAATTTCCACTTGTTGGCTGCGAAAAGAAAAAAAAAACATCTATTGATTAAGATCCTCTGAGTTTCCTGTCCCTTTTGTAAGGAATGTAATCGGTATTTACATATGTTCTCCCCAATTAGACAGGCATTTGTGCTCTATTCAGATGATTAAAAACATTGGGCAAAGAGAGCCTGGTCAGCTGTAATAGCGGCCCAGAAAAAAACAGGGAAATAAGGCTCAGGCTCCATGGATTTAGCTCAGATGTAACCCTTCAATGCCTGGATTATTTCATTTTACTGAGCATTTTCTTAGAGGTCCATCCTGTCCAAGTAGCATGAAGACACATGGGCTGACACACGTTTGAGCGCCTCACCCGACAAGCAAACAGGTGGTGTCAGCATTATTGTGTGAGCTGTGTTAAGTCACTAAGATCAGATCTCTTTATTGGCCCTATACAATTTCTTGTGTTAGAAATTTGTCTTTTTGCATACCCCCAGCTTGCTCTCCATGAGACACACAGACAGGGAGAGAAGCTGGGGGTCAGAGCGCAGGGTCAGCCATTTATACGGCGCCCCTGGAGCAGCTGGGGTGAAGGGCCTTGCTCAGGGGCCCAACGGCCTTGCTCAGGGGCCGCGGGATACGAACCGGCAACCTTCCAGCCACAGGCGCAGATCCTGAGCCACAGAGCCACCCCACGGCCTCTTTACGTTTCCTTGGGGCGCTTGCCCTCCACTAGGGGGGCCCCCTGTCCTCGTGCTGTCGAAGCTGGCGTGAATGCCTGCGACAGATAATTGCAATGCGGGGGGACAGGTCTCTGAGTTGGGCTAGTGGGATTTCCCCAGCGTCCCATCTGTCCGGGAGCACAGTTCACATGCGGCTGCTGTAATTACTGCGGACTGGGCCTGCAGGGAACATGTGTTTCAGCGGCAAGGCCTGGGGGCAATTAGGGGACAGCCAGCCCCCGGGCTAGAGCCCTCCTGGGGGGCACTGATTGAGTGGAGCCTCATCTTTCTAACAGGTTGGCTGGGCGCCACCACACTCAGAGCTCTGGGCCTGGAGGGACTGGCTCTATCTGGGCGTCCGTTTCTGCATCTTGAGCCGCGAGCTGCCTGCTTGTCCATTCCTTAAAAACGCGGTGTTACCTGTCCACTGGTAGAGCTAGCAAAGCTTCAACCCGACACAGAAAAAGAAATGCGAGGTACCAGCAGGGACCGACTGAGCACTGAAGGGCTGAATGAACTTTTGCAACCCGGGCACATGCTGTGGTGTTTGCGATGTCACGATGTGTGATGCTGCCAGGGCCCTGATAACAAAAAGCAGGAGCACTGAGACCAAACTCTGTTCAACTAGATCTGTTTATTTGAAGTCCTTCAGTCTCGTGCAGAACAAGGAAGTCGGTGTCTTCCGATAGAAACAAAAAAATAACAACAGGTGAAATCTCTACGTCCGACACCAAACACAGCAATAGCATCTGTACAAATTAAACTTCACCC